CAAAAGGTAACGAAACGAGAAGAGGAATATGATGAAAACAGGATGGAGTCATTTAGTGAAATTGCAAACAATGAAAATAATAATAACAGCAAACAAATTAAGGAAAAGGAGGGCGAGGAGGAGGAGCCGAATAGCCCCGGTGGATATACTATACGTAACATAATTTTGAGAAAGCAATAACAGGGAAATAGAGTAGGACGCAACACAGTGGAATAGGCCTACAGTCTACAGGGGATACCACTGACAAAAAAAACGTATTGACAATAGTACCTCATGGTGATATAAAAACCTATTGATACAAATGTCGCCTTAACGGCCTTAACGGCACATATTCGCATAAGGGCGCGTATTTCAGTTCCGATAAGTTTGGTGATTTTTAATATTTTTTCCTTTCTCATTTATTTCATATTTCCTTTGCTTATAGACAAAAGACCTTAAACTTCAAAATCTAGAAAATATGTTCACACTAAAATATTTTATTCATACCTGAAATAAGTAATTATTAAAATACATATAACATAACTTGAAGACGAGAATAGAATTGTACAGAAACAAATTCATCTCAACAATTAAAAAGTGACACAATACAATCAAAATGTAAGTAACCTGGTCTTCATTACACATTCGCAAAACTATTATTACCGTTCTGATTTTTCAAATCACTCCATCCACTCATTCGATGTTCTGAGACACATTGAAATATTATAATACATGTACAAACAATACAATATATACATACATACATAAATAATACTATCCAACTCAGTATATACATAAACAGATAAGGTAACGATGAATGAAACTTCTTTCATTACTCAAAATAAATGCGTATCAGTACTTCTGATTTTAATTTCCATCGCCCATAGCGCTGTGATGTACGTAAAACCAATTTCAATTGATACGATAGATTGTGACACGGAATAGTAGAGGGCACTGCTGACACGAAATTTTGTGGCTCTGATATATGCTAATGTGGACCAGGGGTTGTTGTCCATACTTATGTGGACCAGGGGTTCTTGTCCATGCTTATGTGGACCAGGGGGGCAGCACTTGCCCGGGAACACCGAAACCCCAGGCGTTAGCACTCTCATTCAGTGATTCCAGAATCGTAGAACTTGATGCCACCACACAACGTCCCGGCGTCCCCCACTTTATTCCACAGTTTCTGCCACACAAGCATACTTTGCTTCTCCCTATGTGAGCTGGCCGTCGGGTGTTTCCGCCGACTACCTGCGTCACCCGGCAACGTAAAGAATGAGGAAACCTTGGAACCCTTTTCGAGAATCTCACTGAGCCGAAAATTCACGTTTCCACGCAATGCCCGACAACATAAACATGTGAGCAATGGTCAGGAGACCCCGTCCGAATCCCACTGTGGCGGTTTTACTTTTTATATTTAATTATTTTATAATTTCACTTTGTAACCTCTCAGTAAAATAAAAACTTGAAAATATTAATTTGCGAAACATTTAAAAAGAAGGAAATAAATTATTTCCTCTTCAATATTTAAATTTTATATTATATACATATGTATTCTGTTATATATACAAAAAGTATTCTTACAATGAGATGTTACCATTATTTTAACTATTGGAGTACATAAATATAAAAACATTCGTAGAAACGTCCAATAAATTAAAATGTTTCGTTATAAATATATCTTCAATCTTTTTAAAGGGTATAGCCGGATAAAGGGACCAAAAATCCCTATTTAATGGCATGCGAAAATTCTATAAATAATCTGATAGGTAGTATTTACTGGGTGCGTATTAATAATTTTTTTCTGATTTTTCAGTTGAGTATTTTAGTTGTGAGAAATCAAAAACAAACTCAATTTTTTTTAGATTTTTGGTAGGATACGCCGTAGTCTTAAAAATCGAAGACCGTAGTTTTAAAAATCGACGTTTTTTCCGCGAAAAAATAACTTGCAGATATTTGAAATTTTTATATTTCCATTATTAAGTAAGTATATTATACGATTGCAAATATTTTATATAAATTGTAGAAGTCGAATTATCTCTATTTAAACCGTCTTGTACTTATTATATAGTATGTAGTGAATGTGATAAAAAAAATCTAAAAATAAAAAAATTAAATATAAAAAGTAAAACCGCCAAAGTGGGATTCTAACGGGGTCTCCCGACTGTTGCTCACACGTTTAGGTTGCAGGGCATCGCGTCGAAAACGTGAATTTTCGGCCCAGTGAAATTCTCGAACAGGGTCTCCAAGGTTTCCTCATTCTTTACGTTGCCGATTGACGCAGGTAGTCGGTGGAATTCCCTGTGTGGCGGGGAACAGAATACGCCCACGGTAATCCCTGCCTGTCGTAAGAGGCGACTAAAAGGGACCGTTGGGATCGCGGGACTGCGGCACCCGCGGTCTGGTGGGGGGG